GCACCCCGCCGCGCGCCGGCGGGGCCGCGCACACGCCCCCGCGCCGCCGAGCGCCGTCCCGCTCCCGGGCGGGGCGCGCGCGATCGCTCACACGAGACGTGCGCCGGCGGCAAAGCAGCGGCAGAGCTGCGCCCAAGGCAGCTCTGCTGAGCTGTCCTGTGCGCCTTGGACCGCCTCGTCGCGGTCCGACTCGGTTTGCCCGGCCCCGTTCTCGTGCGGCGGGTCGCAGAGCGACTTGCGCGGCATCGAGCCGGGGAAGGGGCCAATCGACAAACGGTGGACGCCTCTCGCACGGTCCTTTGCGTCCGTCCTTCTTGGGGTGATGGATTCCGCCGGATATGCGACGTCGCACTGGGATTTGCGTTCGTGGTCTCGTATAGAAGCGTCCGTCGGCATTGAGGAGACGTCACCGAAGTCCGCTGCTGAATCACTGGTCCTGTCGCTGCCACACGGCTCCCCTGAGCCGAGCCGCTGGAAGATGTAGGGCCGCCGCCGCCGCGGCTGGCCGTCGCGCATCGCAGGGCTCATTACCTCCTCCGCCTCCGGGTCAGGGCTAGGATGGCGACTGCTCTCCGGATTAGAAGCCTCCTCCAGCGACGAGCGCGGCGGCGCCGGGAGCACCGCAAAGTGGGATGGCGGCACGAACGGCGCTCGTCGCGTGTGGGTCTGAGTGAGCGGCAGCGGTTTGGTCGTCCTCGCCGGACCAGGCTCTGGTGCTTCGCTGGCTTCGGAGTCGGTGTCTCCTGGGGAGGTGCTCGCGGTGACCGGCTCGCTAGCTTTGGACGACGGCGACTTTGGCTTGCGCGGCGACGTCAGGCGTGATATCGTTCGCAGCCTGAGGAAAACGCTCGGCATGCGCGCAGCGCGACGCCGACAATGCGTGTCCTCAATCTGATCGAAGCACGGGAAAAGAAACGAGGTGCGCATGTCTAGTCCGGGTAAATGATACAGGAAAGCGGCGATTCGCATTTCGCACGCACACACACTCACTCACACTCGGTCGAAAGACCCCAGATTGGCATCCATGCCTCTCTGGACAGGGTGGCCCGCCACAACGACCCGAGGAATTGCGACTCGCCGCTTTCCTCCCGCTGTGATTCTGTGTGAGCTCTGTGTCTTGTTTTGCCAACAACATCCGCTATACCTACAACAACATCCGCCGGCGGCCACTTCAAGGTCGTTCCACACCACCGGACGTCGAGGTCCTTCGGTTCCTCGCCCTTCGGCCGCCCCCCGAACACGCCGCGACATGCCCCGATGAAGACGGCGCAACCGGAGGCGGGCGACGGCGTATTCTCGCGGGCGGCCGAGCTGCTCAACTCTGTGTTCAATCGGCCCAACGCTGACGAGGACGATGCCGCGCCTCCACCCCGGTCTCAGCGCGGCGCCAGCTTGCCTTCAAAGGCGTCATTGCGCATGAGCATCGCTCGGTTCGAGGAGGAAGGAAGGTTTTCGAGTGATGCAGTCGATCACGAGAAGATTCTCAGCAAGAGGGTGTGTCTCAACCGGGAGCAGGGCACTAAGTTCGCCTCGAATCGGGTCATCACCTCTCGGTACACCATCCTCACCTTTGTACCGCGGTCGCTCTTTTCACTTCTCAACCCGTTCAACCGCTTCGCGAACTTCTACTTTCTCGTCGTCGGCTGCCTGCAGGCCGTGCCTGCCATTACCATCACCGAGGGGCGCGCGGGCACCTTCATGCCGCTCTCGTTTGTGCTATTCGTCGACATGCTCATGCGCGCAATCGAGGACTACGCGCGCCACCGCTCGGACGCGGAGACCAACTCGAAGCCCGTCGACGTGCTGCACGGCACGTCCGCGCGGCCCGTGATGTCAGACGTGCCTATCGCGCCGTGGGATCTCGGCTATGATGACCGTGGCAGCCGCAACTCCTCGGTGGGCCGAAAGAGCGGCGCCATCGGGCCGACTGCCGCTGGGCCCTGCTGGCAGACGTTGCCCTGGGACAAGGTGCGGGTCGGTGACGTCGTGCGCGTCGGGAACCGGGGTGCTATACCAGCAGATCTCCTGCTGCTGGGCGCGTCGCCGGAGGCGGGCTCAGCCTGGGTCAACACCAAGCCCCTCGACGGCGAATCCGACACCAAGCTGCGCATGGCGGTCGCCCCCACGTCGCTGCAGCTTGAGGGGCTGCGCGGCCCGGAGGTAGCCGAGCGGCTGGCGCGGTTTGATGGGACCCTGCTGTGTGAGCTGCCGAACGACAAGGTCAACGACTTTGTTGGCCGCCTGCAACTCTGCCCCTCGGGTCCGCACAAATTCGGCGGCGCCCGCGTGACCGTCGATCGAGACAACATGCTCTTGCGCGGCTGCCAGCTACGAAACACAGAGGCGGCCTTCGGGATGGTCGTCTCTGCCGGCGTGGAGTGCAAGATCAACTTTTCTGGCAAAAAGCTCGGCGAGTTTGAGACCGAACGGACGGGCCACATTGCCTCCGCCGTCAACATCGACGTCGCTGGGGTGGCCGTGTTGCTGGTTCTGGTGTGCTGTGTCCGATCCTCCCCCAGCCCCGCCTCTCACGCGTCTTTCTACTTTTTCATCTTTCGCAGCGGGAAGGAGACGGCCCGGCCCCGTCTCGCTCGCGCTCGCGCGCACGCGCGCGCCAGGGTTCGTGAGTGAAATTTCACACTTTCACTTTCACATGTGAATTCGTGTGAAATTCACATGAAACGTTTCGGCCGCCCCCGTTTCACTGAAAATTTCACAAGTTCGACTACTTTCGAAGGCCCTGGCATCTCCGAGGCGGCAGCGGCGGATGCGGCAGCAGTCGAGGCGGCAGCGGCGGTGGCGGTAGCGGAGAGAGCGGCGGTGCGCCTACCACTGCCGGCACCGGTAGGGATCTCTGTGCCACCAATGCCGCGCGTTCCTGCTTCCCTGCAGCGAGGCCGTGGTCAAGGCCGTGGTCGTCCCCGAGGCTCAAAGAACAGGGGCCCGCCCTCACTGCATCAAAACGCGGTGAAAGCGAGGAAGTGTAGAAAGGAAAGAGCCCACAAAATAACTAGTGAGAGGAGGTGCAGCTTGGTTCGTGTCCTCGGGCGCTCGAGGACGTGTGTGTTGCCTCAATGTTCGTTTAATGCGCGCCCCCGCCGAAATACACTGCAAATACACCATACACGCGAGATGCGTCGGCAGCGACGCGCACGACCTCTTAAGAAGCACCGTGTTGTTAGGGTTAGGGTTAGGGTTAGGGTTAGGGTTAGGGTTAGGGTTAGGGTTAGAGTCAGAGAGCGTTCAAGCCGTTGTGCAGCTCCTAAGAGAATGGTGTCCGGTTTGGGCCGAAACCAAATGGAGGAATCAGCGGTCCGTCGACACGAGCTTCGGTGAATGCTTTGGGTTCTTCGGGCTAGGGTTAGGGTTAGGGTTAGGGTTAGGGTTAGGGTTAGGGTTAGGGTAAGGGTTTGGTTGTCGTCGCGCGCTCTCGATATCTGGCTAAGACAGAGACACAGCAGCAGAGGCGACCCAAGCGACACATCAGAGCATGGATGGGGGCGCGAGCCGCCATCTTGGACTGTGAGGCGAGTATTTGCAACCGGGAGCTCGCCGCCGCCCCTACACCGCCGCCGCCGCCCTCCCGGTGGCAAATAATAGCCCAAGTCGAAGAGTGCGCCCCGCCCTCGGTATCTGGGCGGCAGGCGGGGCTAGAGTGGCACGCCGGTGCGCGGATGGGGGCGCGAGCCGCCATCTTGGACTGTGAGGCGAGTATTTGCAACCGGGAGCTCGCCGCCGCCCCTACACCGCCGCCGCCGCCCTCCCGGTGGCAAATAATAGCCCAAGTCGGAGAGTGCGCCCCGCCCTCGGTATCTGGGCGGCAGGCGGGACTAGAGTGGCACGCTGGTGCGCGGATGGGGGCGCGAGCCGCCATCTTGGACTGTGAGGTGAGTATTTGCAACCGGGAGCTCGCCGCCGCCCCTACACCGCCGCCGCCGCCCTCCCGGTGGCAAATAATAGCCCAAGTCGAAGAGTGCGCCCCGCCCTCGGTATCTGGGCGGCAGGCGGGGCTAGAGTGGCACGCCGGTGCGCGGATGGGGGCGCGAGCCGCCATCTTGGACTGTGAGGCGAGTATTTGCAACCGGGAGCTCGCCGCCGCCCCTACACCGCCGCCGCCGCCCTCCCGGTGGCAAATAATAGCCCAAGTCGAAGAGTGCGCCCCGCCCTCGGTATCTGGGCGGCAGGCGGGACTAGAGTGGCACGTTTGTGCACGGATGGGGGCGCGAGCCGCCATCTTGGACTGTGAGGTGAGTATTTGCAACCGGGAGCTCGCCGCCGCCCCTACACCGCCGCCGCCGCCCTCCCGGTGGCAAATAATAGCCCAAGTCGAAGAGTGCGCCCCGCCCTCGGTATCTGGGCGGCAGGCGGGGCTAGAGTGGCACGCTGGTGCGCGGATGGGGGCGCGAGCCGCCATCTTGGACTGTGAGGCGAGTATTTGCAACCGGGAGCTCGCCGCCGCCCCTACACCGCAGCGGCCGCGCCTCCCGATGCGTCGAGAGTCGACTCTCGACTGCTGAGAGAGTTCATCCCACCATCGGCACCGTATTCGCCCAGAGCATGCCATGAGATTCATATAGGTCTAGTGTACACATCAGCTCAGCGAGACCAATATCTCCAGCCTCCTTCATCTTGGCTGCTGCTTGGGAGCCAACACCTGTGCAAGTGAGTGTCAGAGTGTCGGACGACTCGGTGGGAGCATCCGTCATCATTCACGTTCACACGATTCTTCACACTCGCTCGAAAAAGTGAAATTTCGTTTCACATGAAATGTGAAGTGAAAGTGAAAGTGAAACCGATTCGCTGTTTCCATGTGAAATCACGAACCCTGGCGCGCGCGACGTGATTTTCGTGATGTGTGCCGCGTATATTACCGTTCCACATGACCGCTCAAAAATTTCGTCACTCACGACCTCTCTGAGATCCTATGCGTCCTCCCTGAGGCTGAGGCTCTGTTCTCTCGCTCTCACATGTGTTTCGTCCTTCGTCCTCTTGTTTATTTCGCCGTGGCCGGCGTCTCCTGGCCGGCCTTGGGCCAGACGCGCGCGCGCTGCTCTGGCGTGGCCTGCTGCTTGACAAGCCACAGGAAGACGCCGCCGGGCGTGCGGCGCTGGCCCGAGCCGTCGGTGCGGAGCAGCCCGCCGTTCTCCTCGACCTGCCACGCCTGCACGAGCAGCCCGCGGCACGCCTCCTCGCCGAGCACCTCGACCAGCCTGCAGATCTGCTCGACCGCCTCCTCCTCCGCCTCCTCGAGCGCCTCCGCGATGTCGCGCCCGACCTCGGCCGACTCGGCGCTCGGCGTGACCGGCGGCACCGCGGGCGCGGGGTTGTGGTGCCCGCGCAGCTGGCAGAGCTCGACCCAGTGCCCCGACTGGTTGCACTTGCGGCAGACGTAGCCAGGGGGAGGCGGAGGCCGCTCCGCCGCGCGCTCTCGCGGGGCGAGCGGGCAGTCGGCGACGAAGTGGCCGGGGACGTTGCATATTCTGCAGACGTAGCCGTCCGGAGGCCCGCTCCTCTTGCCCTTGGGACGCTTTGCGCCACCGCCGCCTCCGCCTCCTCTGCCGCCGCCGCCGCCGCCGCCCGCGCCCGCGCCCGCGTCGCTCGCGGCGTCGGCGGACGCGTCGTCCCTCGGCCGCTTGCTCTGACGCGGCAGCGGGCAGTTTGCGATCCAGTGGCCCGGCTGCCTGCAGTTGTGGCAGACGTAGCTCTCGGGAGGCACCTCGCTGCCGCGAGCCGTACCGCCTCTCGGGCCGCCTCTCGGGCCGCCTCTCGCCTCCCGGCCGACGGCCGGCCGTCTGCTCCCACCGCCAGCCGGCGCCGGCGCCCGTGCGGGCTTGGCCTGCCGCTTCTCGGCTGAGTGCTTTGCAAAGTCCGAGAGCAGCGCCTCGTACCCGCCGCCCGCCGCCGTCGACAGCCCGTAGGGCACCGCCTCTGTGTGCATCTGCACCGTCAGCTCACCGACGGCGCCAAAGTCGGACAGCTTGGCGGGCCGCCGCACGGAGGAGACGCGCGCCGCGGCGCCGCCGTCGGCGCTCGGCGCCGCCGCCGCGGAGCCTCCCAGCGCGGGCGGGGGCGCGTTGGGCAGCGTCTCCTGGTCCAGGTCCATCCAGCGAGGCAGCCGCACCGAGCGGACAAACGACTTGCGGCCACCCGCCGACGCGGCCGACGCGGCCGACGCGCCACTCTCCCGCTCGCCCTGCTCGCCGCCGCCGGCCGCGTCGCCCGCGACAGCCGCCGCGCCGTCCGCACCCCTCTCCTCCCCGGGCACGTCATAGTCGAGCAGCGGCCGCTGCGGGCGGTCGTTGCGCGTGACCGCCGTCCGCTCAAAGGCCATGCCGCCGAGCGGGTGGGCGACCTCCTCGAGGTCAGCCACAAGGCTAGTCAGGCTGGCCGCCATGGGCAGGAGGCAGGAGGCAGCGAGGTTGGACGCGTCCACGTCCAAACCGCGCTAGCACGGCCGCGTCGCCCCAGCGGGGTAGAGGAAGAATTCTTTACGCAAGCAGCACGAAACGTCGGTGTCCAGTCCGAGCCTCTTCACCTTCCTACATACATACATACATACGACAAGGGCGCGGACTGGCGCGGACTGGCACACACACCGGCTCACCGAGGAAGAATTTTAGCAGGCCGCGCACGGGACTGGCGGTCTGGCGCGCACTGGCACTAACAAAACAAATTGCTAAAAATCTCTCTCTCTCTCTAACACAGGAACGAGAGAAGAATATAGGGTGGATAAAGCGCCTGTTCACGGCATGGAGGGTGAGCCACGCCGAACGTACTGAACGTAGAGCCGAGCGGGAGGAAGAGGGGGAAGACGACTCCGAGGTGCGAGGAGGACGAACCAGTGGAAATCCCGTTGTCAGCCGTCACGATGCACCCGAAGGGGACCACAGCGCCGGCATCATCAGTGAGGGCACAAGTGTTCGAAGAGAGAGTGGACCTGAGCAATAATATGACTGGGTGGCAAATGATAGCAGTGGGCGTCAGAAGACTCGTCCTTGCTCGAGGAGAGCTCGATAGACTCGAGGGGCCAGGATATGCAGCGAGGAGGGCGGAGCTGCGCCGAGCAGCGAGAGCAAGGGAGCGGCAGGCGGCGGCGCCGTCGCAGGACGAGGCAGAGGAGAGCGACGCGACAGAGGAAGAAGCGACAAGGGAGACCACGACGAGAAGGGGGCGACCGCGAGGTGGCACGAAGGTTGAAGCGAGGATCGGCGAGAGACTGCGAAGAGAGATAGGAAGAGGCGGACGCCCAAGGGTGGGCGACGGCTAGCGCACCACACCCCTCTCCTTAAAATCCCTGTGTGGTGGCGGCGTGCCGTCCTCCCATCCCTCCCTTGGGTTGTCCGTTTTCTTTCTTTCTTTAACACAAGAACGTGGACCGCGCTCCGCGCACTGTGCGCAGTGGAGGTCTGTGGGATCTCAAACCCCGCCCTACCTACCTATCCACCCCCCCCCCCCCCTGGAGCGCGAACCCCAGACCCCCCTAGACGGCTAGGAGATACGAAGGTGAAGAAGCCGACCCAAGGAGCCCGGAAGGAAGAAACGCCCGCCGGGCAGCGCATGCGAGGGGCGTTGACATTGGGGCGGCCGGGTTGCACACCATGGGCTCGAGCCCCCTCCCGAGCCCGCTCGGCCGGGCCAGCCCGAGCGGCAGGCTGAACGCGAGCGGTAGGGTGAGCCCGGGCGGGCGAGCCTGCAGCCCGGGCGGGCGAGCCTGGAGCCCGAGCGGGCGAGCCTGGAGCCCGAGCGGGCGAGCCTCGGCAGCCTTCGGGCTGAGCAGTCCCAAGCGGCCGCACCAGCTTCGCGCGAGCCCGATGCCGCGGCCCATGGCGACGCGGCGGCCGCCCCCCATTTGGACGGCGGCCAGCTTCGGCGACGACAGCGACAGCTCGTCCGCCTCGCCATGCATTGTGCGCGCTGACGCGGAATGCGGCAGCACCGCGGCGCGGGCCGGGCCGGCGCGGGGTTACAAGCGGGCGCGAGGGGGCGCCTTTGCGGCGCAGCACCGCGCCACCAGCCTCGGCGGCGAGCTCGGGCACGTCTTTGGGCGGCTGTACGTCGGGTCGGCGGCGGCGGCGGGTTCGCGGCGGCTGCTCTCGGCGCACGGCATCACCCACGTCCTCAACTGCTGCCGGCTTCCGAATGCGCTCGAGGGTGCCGAGGGTGCACCCTCCTACCTGCAGCTTCACCTCTCGGACTCGACTGCCGACGGGCCGAGGATGGCGTCCGCCGTGCGGCGGGGCGTCGCCTTCGTCGACTCCGCTCTCTGCAGCGGCGGGGGCGTGCTGATCCACTGCCACCGAGGCATCTCCCGCTCGTGCGCGCTCGCCATCGGCTACGCCGTCTGGCGCGAGCGAATCACCGCCGAGGCCGCGTTCGAGCTTGTGCGGCGCGCGAGGCCGCAGTGCGACCCGAACCTGAGCTACCTCTGCGCGCTCAAGGAGTGGGAGCGGCAGTGCCTCGGCGGCGCCGTCTCGCCTCCCGCCGCCGCGCCCGCGCCGGTACCTGTCGGAGGGCGGTCGCTCTCCGCCCCTCTCGAGCGACCGGCGGAGGGCGGCGGCGCCCTTCCCCGCGGCTGCGCCACTCTGCCCCGCTGGCCGAGCGGCGGACACGACGCCCCAAGTACGCGCCGGCCCTTGCAACGCACAAACAGCTTCTGACGCAGCCGCGAGCGCCCGCGCCACAAGATGCTGCCTATACTCGGTGACTGGGCGTCTGCGGCGCCGTTTGGACGCACGGCACGGTGCCCCTTCCCGCCATCACCTCGGCCACCTCAAATTCCCCCCGGACCCAGTTCACATCTCGGAGCCGGCGCCGAGCCGCCCCTGCGCCGTACCGCCCTGCGGCCCCTTGTGAAGAAGCTCGATCGAAGAAGCTCGATCAACACGTGTGTGCGTGTACGAAGGTCGTAGCGTGTTTTCAATTATTTTTTACCGCGTGATTATATCTCAAACACACTCAACCTCTCTCTCGCCGGACACATCGCCCACGCCCCGCCGGCGCGCGCCGGCTCGTCGACGAGTCGCAGCTCGAGCGCGCGCGGATCTTGCGCGCGGCGCCGCCGGGCCGCCGCTCACGCCGCTCACCGGCTCGAGCCCTGCTCTGCCTCTCTCCACCCGCGCTCGTGACGCTGTCGAGAGCGGGGCCCCGCGCGCCATTCGGAGGAGGCACGCGCTGACGCGCATCGACTCAGAAATAGCGCGTGCCGAAGACTCGCTCATCGAACTCGACCTTCCACGCCTCCCTCGCCCTCGCGGCCACGGCCTCGCCGCGGCGGTCGACAGAAGTGCGGTTCATGCGCGGGTGGTACGGCGGCTCGAGCACCGCGCGCTGCGCCTCGCTCGCCCCGTCGAGCACGCTCTCCGGCCAGCTGGGCAGGTAGCCGCGCCCGTACGCCGACCTATCACACGCCGCGGACGCGTCGTGGGCAGGTCCTGGCCGTGGCGGGAGCCGCGCCGGTGCACCGACCCTGCGGGCGCGAAGCGGTAGATGACTGTGCGGCGCTGGTGGGCTGCCGTCCAGGGAAGGGTGCCGTGCAGCGTCGCCTCGCTGAAGAGGAGGCAGTCGCCCGGCTGCAGCGCGGGCTGCACCACGCAGCTCGCGAGCGCCTCGTCCGCCAGGTCCGCGAGCGAGGGCGGCACCGGAAAGTTGGACTTGTGGCTGCCCGGCACGGCGCAAAAGCCGCCTGCGCCCTCCGGCGCCGCGCTCAGCTGCATGCACACCGTCAGCAGCTGGTTGCGCATCTGGCCGTGCCTGCACTCGTACGCGAGCGGCCAGGCGGGCTCGCCGGACTCGGTGACTGCGCCGCCGTGCAGCGTGTGCCCCTCGCTGCCCCGCTCCTGCGCGATCAGCAGCGGCGAGTGGTCGAGCCGGTAACCGACGCCCACGAGTTCGTTGAGAGCCCCCGCGACGGCGGGGTGCGTCAGAAGCTCGCGGAAGGGCTCTCGGTGCGGCGCCCTCCAGCCGAGCATGCCGCCCATGTCGAAGCGCCCCGTCGTGCCGTCGCCTGCCAGCTGGGCCGACTCGCGGCCGTAGAGCCCAGACGTCCGCAGCTGGCCGGTGCGCTCGTGTAGGGTGTCTGCGTGGTGGTCGATGGCGCCGTTCGCCCGCGCCACCAAATCCGCGTCGAAGGCGCCGCGGATCACGAGGAAGCCGTTGAGGTCGAACATGTACTTTTGCGCCGCAGTGAGCCCGGCCTCGGCAAGCGGCACGTCGTGGCGGTTGCGCAGCGCCGCCGACGAGAGGTGCCCAGAGTGGCCGACGCCAGCGATCGTGGAGGAGAGCCGGCGGCGGGCAGCGCGAGCGGACGCGGCGAGGGGTCGTGGCACCGTCATCGGCGAGGCTGAAAAAAAGAAATAATCTCGGGCAGCGGAGCTGGGAATAGGACCGCCGCAAGCGGCGTGGCGTGGAGCGGTTGAGCCGTCGCCCACCCTCGGGCGTCTATCTTCGCAGTTACCTACTCAGTTTCTCACCTCGCAGCGACCTTCATGCCACCTCTCGTTCTTCCCACTCTCGTCCTTGTTCTCTCTCCTGCTGTTTCATCCTCTGACTCATCGCTCTCCTCGGCCTCGTTCTGAGACGCCGCTGCCGTCTGCCTTGCTCTCGCTGCTTCTCTCGCCTCTCGTAACTCCGCCCTCCTCGCGGCATAATTTGGCCCCTCGAGTTTATCGAGCTCCCCTCGCGCAAGGACCAAATTTCTCCACTCTCGTTTCGAGCTTA